AGTAGGAAGTTTTAATGACACGAGTCTTGTAACGGTTCTTACACCGCTCTTGAAAGTTGCGGAAGTTCCGCGATAGCGCAGCTTTCCCTTTTTAATTTCCAAAGTTCGCCCCGTTTTTCCCGGCCCAGTGGATAATGCCAGCCGAAACATATTTCGAGGAAGCGGCGCGCAATTTCACGGTATGGTGTGCGCCGGATTCCGCTTTCACGGGGGCATTAGCGGGGAAATTGCTCGCGCGAGCCGCGCTCGAAGAAACTCCGCGCCGCGGCAACATCTCCGATTTACTGCCCGATCCGTTTATCGCCGTGGCCCAGATCCGCTCTTTAATTCTTGAACGCGGCTGACCCAGCTGGTGAGTGCATTATGCAGTTCAGGTTGCGGCGGCTTGCGACTTGGGCCGGTTTTTTACACCGGCAAGGCGTAAACCATGTTCTGTGACTCAGCGTTTCTACTAGACAGTGAAATATCTTGTGTGAATGTTTGTAGTACGTTTTATGGTAGGTTCGTGGATATTGTTTTAATGTTTTATTTGCGTATTGTGGGATTCTTTAATATCTAGATTTTTCAGTGTTTGGATTCCTTAAAATCTAGGTTTTTCAATATTTAGATTTGTCAACGACTAAATTTCCTAACATCCAGATGTGCCAGCATTTAAATTTCTCAACGTGTAGATTCCTGAAAGTCTACATTTCACGAAGTCTAAATTTATCAACGTCTAGACTTCTCAAAGTCTAGATTCCTCAACGTTTGTAATTTCATTTATCATCGCAACAACAGTTTCATCCAATGGAACATCCTTTCCTCAACTTTAACAGACAGATTTGCTTAAACGAATTTTCGAAAGTATACTTATATTAAAAGTTACAGGAAGTTAGGCCGGCTGTTTTCGAATACTGTGCGCATTTGACTAACAGCAACTGCCTTCACTACTAGACTCTTCACTCGCTTGTCCGACTGAACACGGGTAGATGCTACTAATTATAGTATACTCCTCCCATGTGTCTGACTAAGCGCAGTTACTCCTGGTTACTCTTCTTTGCGTGTCTGACCGCAGACGGTATTCCGCTACTAACTTCTACTTCGCGTTTCCGCTCCTTGGAAGCTTTGATGAGGACGCTGAAGAATGTTTGATCTATTGTGCGGGAAACAATATCATTGAAAAAAAGAATAGTTCTCTTTATCCAGGAAACATTGGAGTGATCGTCACTTTTTACATGAAAAATATACACTCAAACATAGACCTTTCAATTACTGTATAATTAAGATGATCCAGTGGTAACGTATAAATTGTTAATACAACAATTGCAAATGTACTATTTTATTTTCTTCTTACAACTACTTTACCCTTTAACATAATATATTTAAATTTCTATCATTCAACTTTGATCCTTATAGATAGTACATAGAATCCTTCATCGCGCGTAAGAATTCACAATCTAACTACATACAAGTAAATAATAGCGTACATAGTTTAAATTATATCTCAAACTAAATATAAAGTCACATTTCAATTATGTTATATATTTATAATGCAACCTTTCGTACAATAATAATTTAATTTATACATATAATAGATTTGCATTGTATTGTACATGTTACGTTACTGTTAAACAGAATAACAATGGTTGTACTTCCAACGCGAACGTCAACGAATCGGGATGTTATCCAGCATGAAAAAAAAATATCCGCGAGGATAGATGGGAAAAAAGGAAAAGGATAATTGCACGGGCGCGTACGAGCTGCCTCGACCTATCAGAAATCAATCGCGGCGACGCGACGGGGGAAATCGGCGGTCCCGCGGGGATAAATAACTCGTCAACACCGTTGCCTCCACGAGCATTTTCGCGGGACGAGCGCGCGAGTGAAAGTCGTTAATTTTTAACACGCTCGAAAATACACGCGTGAATGGGATCGAATCGCTGGAGAACACGATTTTTAAATATTTCCCCCTGCATCGGTTGGTCGTTCCGCGTCCGCGCGTCCCCGATCCGCCCCGCTGATCCTGTCACAATTATTCTTCTCTTTCCAGAAAATACTGGAACGGTGATTTCAATATTAACGCCGGAACGCGGGCTTCGCGAGCGTTATTTCCGCCCGTAAACTTTCGAATATTTTATCGCGGACGTGTCGAAACCGTTGCCTGGGAACGCTTCCCTTCCGACGCGATACAAAAATGGTCACACGGACACCCCCACGGAATTATCGAATGATATTTCCTCGATGAAATGTGAAACCGTCTGGTTCGTGTAACGATCCGATGAATCGTTCTTTGTTATTCTTTTCGTAGAACTCAGTACTGACTGTCCATTTTGAATGTTGTTAGATTACTCTGTGAACGGGCTATTATCATAGAAAATAATTTTACAATTGTTCTAATCAAAATGATTTCATCGTTAATAATTCGGTATTTTATTAAAATTCTAGGTTGTTTCTTTAAACATTGAATATTAATAGCTGAATAATAGTATGGTGTTAGATCGTAGATAGTTACTAGATTTCACATTACCAGAAAACGCAGCAAGTGAAAGGCTCAAATCAACTTCATCTATGTTCTTGTTTGAAAATCAGAAAAGGTGAACTACTCCAGGATGATGTACTATTTCTTACCTTAACTTATTTAATAACAATCTCCATTTATTCATCCTCTATAAACAATAACATCGCTATCAATCGTTTAGTAAATGCTAGATTAAGAAATCAAAAAAAGGGAAAGAATATTTCACCGGAGAACCCTTCCGAATGGTACACGATCGTCGAAAGGAAAAGGGGCAGCATAATTACAGAGCGCTCGGCGGGGAAGTCAGGAATAAGGCCAGGGGGTAAAAATTTTTTCACGTCCATCCATCCCCACCCACGGCCCTTTTTATTATTCCCCCGGTAACACCGGCGATCTTCACGTTAATGGGAATTCGTGATTTTGAACTCGATGCGACTCCATCCACGTTCTGAATGGTGAACGAGCGAGGGGTGGGGGAACGGATGGGGGCGAAGAAGGAGGGGGTTTAGTTGGCGAAGGAACGATCTTTTCCTCGCGGCACCCGGAGGTGCAATTAACGTCGACGCGTACCAAACGAGATTTATTAGCTCTTCTAGTATAATTGCTTCCAAGAAAGCCGGCGAACGGCAACCTTTTTCCCCTGTACAATTACGTCTAACGAAAGCAATTATCGAGTTTCGTCGTCTCCCCCGATCCCGGACTCTTTTCTGAACGAGAACATGGACTAGTTTGTCACCGGAGGTAAATAAAAACATAGGGGATGTGAATACATTCGTTGGCAAAGGGCTTCGACGCGGTGACTTTTAACCCTTTGTATTTCGAACAATTTTTAGTATGATCTTTCAGCAACTCCGAGTCATTTTTATCATGAGCAATCAGCTATTTCAAGAATATTTACAATGGTGCAAGCACGCAATATGTACCACTTGCAACCTACATCCTTAGCACTTAGCTACCTTGCTACCTAGCTTCTTAGCACTTAGCTACCTTGCTACCTAGGTTCATAGCAACTTAGCTATCTGCTACCTAGGTCCTTAGCAAATTAGCTATCTTGCTACCTATGTCCTTAGCAACTTAGCTACCTAATACCTAGGTCCTTAGCAACTTACCTACTTTGCCATTTAGCAATTTAGCTACCTTGCTACCTAAGTCCTTACTGACTTAGCTACCTTCCTAGTTATATTCTTAGCAACTTAGCCATTTTGCCACCTAGCAATTTAGCTACCTGCCTACGTAGCAACTTAGCTACTTAGGTATTTAGCTCCCTTTCTACGTAGTTACTTAGAAATATGACAGATACGCGCGGAAATAATTTATTCGAGCGACAATATCGACGCGGCGTAGCATCTGCGGATTGTTGCGATTCGGTGAGGCTCTCGTAAACCACAGATAATCGAAATGCAGAAGGTAATTAGGTAATTAGTTTCCGGGTGCGTGAGCGTACGCGGCGCCGCATTCGCCCGGGCTCGTGTACATAAAATACGGGATTTACATTTAACTCAATGTTGTCGGCGGCGGCGATATTACTGTCGGAGATCTCCATATCGGGCCAGTGCACGCCGATTGAAGTAACGGGGTGCTTTCGTCGGTATACGCGTCGCGGATTTCATCGAGGCCAACTTCGTACGACACGCGGAACTCCGTAACGGGCGTCACATTAACAAATTGATTCAAACAACACGCTCTCGCGGGCACTTCTGTAATTCGAGCTAAGTCGGATCGAAAACACGATGCACAGTGTTCTAGAGGATTTATATACGATGACAATTCCTCGGGCAATACGAGAAAAATATTCACAGTGCAATGTAATTGATGAGTAAATGGAAACATTTCATTTTTCTTAGTTTTTATCCCCTTCAAATGTATTTACGCCGATATAAAAAAATTCTAATGCATATAGCAATGGAAAAGTTGTTTTCCGGATGTAAAGTCAGTTAACTGTCCATTTCAACGTTCTAATATTCCTTTGATTATTGTTCCTAGCAGTGTGTACCATGGCAAACATATTCCGCATAGAAATTCATGAACCATTAATTATTCTATAACATTGAAAATTACTAATGTAAATATCTTGCGATCATGTATTTATGATAACCATTACAATGGTATTTACTATAAACTATTCGTCTGTAGAATATTAATATTTATCGATATTGCAAGTCAAATGATATTGGAAGCTTAACCCTTTGCCCTATTTTGTCGAATAAAACTTGTGATGATGATTCCGAGATTTATTCAATAAAAATCAATGTTTTTCGTTGCACATGGATCGAAAGGAAACGTTATTTCGCTGTTTTTAATATTTAACCTACAAATTTAAGGCGTATTTATAAAAAACGTAACATTTCTTCGCATTTCTTCCGAATCATAGGTAGTAGAAGTAGTTAGTCACGAAGAAAATCGTTTCGCAAGGGGGTGAACAAGTAAAATAAGTTTGTCTGATTGAAGTGTGACGTTTGCAGGATTTCTACTGAAGGAAATTCTGAATTTTCCTTTGCCGCAGGAGTTAAACAGCAGACACTTGGAGCCCGTGGAAGTGTTCCGGGGTATTCCGTACGCGGCGCCGCCCGTAGGAGAGCTACGATTTCGATCGCCGATTTCTCCGATCCCCTGGGACGGCATCAAACTGGCGGACTCGTTCGGCGCGGTCTGCCCACAGCACTTCCCGGACATCGACAATGCCACAGCTGCCCTCTCGCAAATGCCTTTGGGCAGGTATCAGCAGCTGAAACAGTTGCACATGTTCCTGACCAATCAGAGCGAAGACTGCCTCTTCCTGAATCTGTACATACCCGGAAGCGGTGAGCGTAACAATCTTCGGACGTTTCGTTGGGTCGAAGTTCCTTCGAAGTGATGTCGAGGATTAACACTAGAACTACCGTACCGAACAAAACGATTCGTTCTAATTTCCTTATTTCGCAATTACCGAGACGTTAAAGGTATTAAATATTCAAAATGATTCTAAAAATAACTTAGTTGGCTTGAATATTATAATAGATATCTCAAGAGAATAGAAACAAAATGTTTTGTTAGAGTTTGCATGAGGTTTGGATGTGAATCGTATTAAATACTTGGTGATTCTAGCGTTGAGAATCCGCGCATTGGAGTATTTTTGTTAAATATAAGTTAGATGCACGGATTTATAAAATAAATGAAAGGATATAGTGGAAAAGTGACGTATTGTGAATGAGAATGTTAAATCGCGTGGAAATTAATGCTCAATGTTAGAGTTGAGTTAATGAGAGTTGGGAACGAAGAAATTAATGAAATGATAGGTTCGGAAATATATTAAGTATCTTCTACATTTTTGTGAAATTTTCAGAACTTGTGTAATTGGTATGTAAATTGTACGAAATATTATAAATTAATGTGAATCGCTTCAACGTTAATTGACGGTATACCTTTCGCGCGCGTCACAATCGGTTATTAAATTCTCGTGATTCGAGATTATGACTCAAAGAAAATGGTCTTGACTTGATACACGTGTAATATATGTAATTAATTAAACAGCGTTAATAACATGCCTCGGGAAATTTTGAACCGGTATCTATCATCTGCTTATGGAACAGAACGGTATTACGAAACAAGTTACTTCCTGAAGTAATTAGTCCCGAAGTAATTAGAACCTTTATGCTGGGTATTATCGCCAAAGTAAGAGCCCGTGCTCGTATATCATTCGACGACCGTTAAAGCCGAGACCGCGCCGCAGACTCCATTGAATTGTCATTAAAAACTCTGAACTAATTTTACGTTACCGCACAATTATGAAACCAATACCCTCGATAAAAAGAAGTGATTGCTTTGAGTACTGGTTCCTTGAAGTAATAAACAACTCAAAGAAAGTATATTAATTCTATATAATCAAAGATATTTTAGTAAATAAAATATGATATTAACCCTTGAGATACTTCATTAAAGGATTTTTATTCAACATCTCACAAAATCAACATATTATTTAAGAAAAATTGTAAACATTGCTCGATCGTATTAGTGGTAACACAAAATTCTCTCAATTCTTTAAATCAGCATGATTGGTTAACAATATTTTAACAGATGGAACATTAAAATATAATTTAGAATAGTCTATCACATGACAGATACTCACTGTTCCACAAAATTCACTAAGAAAAGCCTTAACACTAGGTTTACAGACATCCATTGTATAATTTATTCTACTGTCCCTAGAAAAGTAGATGTTTATAATTGGATTTTGGAAATTAGGAATTTAAAAATAAACATTTAAGACATACACTCGTACAACTCCGTAAATTGGAATTGATATTTACTAAATAATGTTCATAAATTTCAATATACGTCAAATTGACGCGTTTCTTAAACTTAATGTTAAAAAGGACGGTCCCATAGTTTTGGTTAGAACAAACGGACCATTTTACTCTCGATACAAATACAACTGTTTGTCAAAATTCTCAAGCTTCCATTTACAAAGCTCACTTTTCTTCTGTAAACTGGTATGATCTCTTTGAAGAAGACTAGGCAAATTTCACTGACCATAGCTGTTTTTTATGAGGTCAAATGTTTCGTCCCAACTGACAATCGGAGGGACAGCATTATTTTCCATTCAGATCTCGCGCGTTCGCGAAACCGTGGGCGTGTTCCGCGTTATTATTTGCCGGTCCCAGCACCACGGGCGACAAACGTGGTCCGCTGCCAATTAAATCGGCCGACCGGATTGTAACACGATAGAGAAATTCAATTTTCGACGAAACCAATAAAAGCGACGTCGCGTGCTAATCGTACGCCCTCCCCCACCCCTCGTTTCCGCTTTGCCGCCGATTAAAGAGCGATATTTAGCCGTGATAGTAGCGCGATTAACGATACTTCGGAGAGATATTACAGTGACGGGTGAACTGCATCATGCCGCCTGACTAATTGCCAGGAAAATCGTTTTCGATAATTGCACGTGAACCACGATTTTTTATCGAGTTGCAAAACACACCTTTTTCCACTTGTGGTTTTTCCTTCTGTTCGGAGCGGCTACCGATCGCGTGCGATTAAATTTTCCGGTGTGTAATGTGGAGGCACTATTTTTGGTTTTTATATCATTCTCCTGTTGGTAATGATACATGATGCTTTAAATCATGTTACAATCAGAAATAGAATCAGTATATATACGAAACTGATTAGGAAACAATATAATATTTTTTCATATCATTCTTTGATTCTAGGATAAAAATATTTGAAGATTTGGACATACTTGGTATTATACAGGTGTCAATTATAATAATATGTCTGTTGATAACTTACCATTTAAATTGTTGCAACTATTAGTTATATTACATATGATTGTATTTGAGTTTCTATATTTCAGTATAGATATTAATGATCACATCTTTTATGAGGAAATTTTATTCTACCCTTTTGATGTATTTTTTCATGTGGATTTATTCTTTTCGTGGTTGTATTGCAATTAGAGAAACACCCGGTTTTTCTTGTGTTCCTTGCTATCATATTTTTGAGTTGTATACTATTATACATGGAAAAAGGAGAACATGGAGGAACGAAGTTAAGTGGTGTTCTACGGGACACGTAATTTACAATCATGCTGACGGGCAGAATTATTCCCTCTGACCACACGAATTCTCGACTGAATAATGAAGTGTTTTAATCAGGCCAATTGGACAGCTCTGTGGTTTTCCAGTGTTGTCTTATTTTAAGCGAGAACAGCTAATTAAATCGCGGAGACTCGCGTCTGCCTAAGCACTGACCACTTCTACTGAAGTGCACGAAATGTCTGTACAATTAAACAGACTACGATGGTGTCTGTCAACCAAATTACTGACGTAATTGTTAGTTTGTCGTTCCACTGAGATGGGTGATACGTTTTTCGAATAAAATTTAAAATATATATTCTTAAATAATTTATATATCATATTATCTTCAATACAACACTATCCACTACCTCTACTTAAATTTCTGATACCAGCACCTATTATTTATAACATTAAATTCTACTCTCAACTTCTATTACCAACTCTCATTATCCATCACAGCCTTAATTTCTCTCATCGATGAAAGAACTGCCACAAAAACAATGCCACTCTCCCAAAAATCCCATAATATCCCAATTAGCCTCTAACGAACACACAGTGCAGAGTTCGAGAGAATTCATTATTAATTATAACCATTAATTATTCCAGGCTCCCGAGGAGTAGAAGCACCATACGCGGTGATGGTCTACGTTCACGGTGAAAGTTTCGAGTGGGGTACCGGGAACATCTACGATGGATCCGTCTTAGCCAGTGCTGGCCAAGTTATAGTGATCACGTTTAATTACCGTTTAGGAATCTTAGGTTCGTATTCGACCGAAACAAACGAGTTCGTAAAAATAAAATTCCACGTACAAAAATTTCTAGAGATCTCTCAAGATCTAGTATCCACTACAGAATCGTCCAATCGGCATGAAACATAAATGACAATGCCTACCGTTCGCTCGTCCCAATAAACCGAGAAGAACGCACACAAAAAAAAAAGGAGGAAATAGATTTCACGTGCAACGACCTAATAATTATACATACCTACCCCGGGAGATCCATAAATCCGCAAAGGGATAGGATTAATATTTCATGGTCCTGTAACCGTATTCAATTACAGTATCGGGAATAACCGATACCCCGCGTCCCCGTTTCCTGCAATCGAGCCGCCGGGTATCGGATACGTAAACAACTTTATTGCGGCCAACCGGTTCTCGATAAAAACTAGATTCCATTTGCGATATAAATACTAACCGCGAGCGCGGCCGTCTACTCAGGCCACGGCCGCAGACGTTTCTGCATCGATTCTCGTCTGGTAAACGGGAAACAACGAGCCGCGCTGGCCGGGACGGGCGAAAGAGGGCGAACGGGAGATGGAATCGGGAAAGGATTGGGATAGGATAATAACGACGCCCGAAATATTCGCCATATCCCGTTCCGCTGGGCGAAATCGTCGACTCGCGAACTTTTGGCGGTGTTCCAGGCTTCCTGAGGACCCGCTCGTACCCAGACAGGAGTCCCGGATCCGGCGGGAACCTGGCCTTGAAGGACATCGCCATGGCGCTGCGTTGGGTGCGCGAGAACATCGCCCCTTTCGGCGGCGATCCAACGAAAATCACGTTGATTGGCCACGACACCGGCGCCGCGCTCGTCAACTTCCTGTTGCTCGCTCCCTATGGCAAAGGTGAGGGTTAATTAGTTTCGTTCGCTCGTCCGGCTGTGCTTTGTGGAAAGCGTTTGAAGATATTTCACTTGTCCTCTAGGGATTTTCGAATTGATTTTTCGGGATTTTCAAGAGTTTTCTGTTTGATAGTTGGATTTGATTGTTTGTGGAGGAATGCGAGGTGGAGTGTTTCTGGGTGTTGATGTTCATTGTTATTGTTGGAGCAGGATTGCGGGGAAGGTAACTAGATCTATTGACGTCGTGATGACGAATTAAAGATTGTATTCAGTTCTTGGTATATTTCTACTACATCAGTATTTAGAGTACTGATTCTTATTATATCAATCTTATTTCTATTAAATATACGAGATATCTTTGACGAATAAAAGCTGAGAAGGGGCATCATCTGATCGAATCGTACACATGAAACATATATGCGCATTCGTTAACGTTTTTGTTTCACAATATTCTGTGCCATCGCGCGCGTCGCAGAGACACGAGGCGCACAGTGAATTCATCAGCTAATGAAGTCCAGCGCACCAGAAAATGCATTGAAATTTATTCGCGAGGACGGTTGATGGAGACAAATTCGAAAAATCGATCCCGCACAGTCCCCGAAATTAGATAACGGTGATAGATCGTCCGCCTAAGAGGGACACGATCAGAGTTGATCGTCGGGCGGCCCCGATTCCGGCCGATGACGGAGGGCCGTGTACAATAACGAGCGGCGGCATCGAATGAAAATCGATTCGGAATAGAGCAGAAATATCGCTGTCGGGCACGATTAGAGGGATCCGGCGCGGGGCGACACTCGATAGATTAATCGGCGAGAGATTAGTCCGGCGAAACCAGCGAGCCGACAATCGAGATAGCGGAAGATCTCCCTTTCTCTCTCTTCCACTCGCGTTCGAAAATAAAACACACACACACACACACGCGAGTGAGCACGCGCGCGCACAGGGAAAAGGGTAGAATCGTAGGAAGGGAGCAGAAAAAATTGCGAGTATCGATCTCTCCCGATGGCCGATGGTGACAAATTGCGTAAGTTCGTTTTATACCTGGAAAACGGAGGATGTATTTTTTATTGGTAGATATTGTATAGGTCACGGTCCAGGATTGGTCCGTTCCGGATCGTTCGGAGCAGCCGACGGAATATCCGTCATCGTCGACGGGAAGCGGAATCGCGAGTGTACCGGGAGCGCGAAGTTTAGCAAGGAAAACACAGTAGACTTCGTTGTTATCGATGGTAGTACGGAATCGGGACGGAAAATTAAGTTGCGGCGATACCGGAAGCGCGACATATTTTTAAAAGGAAATACCACTGAATCCTTCGTCGTCGATGAAAGCGGAATTGCGATACCGCGAGTATAAATTTTGTTTTTTAATTAAACTAGCTATCTGTTGTCGTCAATGACAGAAATGAAATTGTGATTATAACTAACGTGGAAGACCTTATTTAATGAAAGTAGTGATCCATCGTTGTAGACGATAAGTGGAAATGCAACGATACTGGGAATACAAAGTATTCGTCAACAGTGAAATCACCGCGAGACTGGAAGCGAAAAATTGTTTCGAAGGAAGATACAACGGAAACACCGTCGTCGCCCAAGAGCTGCGTAAATAATCAGCCGCGCGGTGCAATACTGTCGCACGAGTTTCGCGCGTCATCAGAAGTATCATTACGAGCTAATGGTGCAGGAACAAGTGACACGAAGTTGAATTCGCCCAGCCAGTGGACGAATAATTGGGACTAATTTGATGATGGTTGGATGTGCTGTTTGCTAATGTTCGATGTCTCTTTGTCGATTACATGCGGGGGAGGAATTCTCAGTTTCTTGTTAGCGAAGACGTGGCGCAGAGACATATTCATTTGTGGATACTGTTTCCTTTGAGTACGTAAATATGTATAGATCTCTTTGGATTTGTTGGTGGAAATTAATAGACTTCATTGTATTAGAGAAACGAAGAACTCGACAGTTTATAATCCTTTGGAGGAAAAAAAATGATAGTAGTGGAGAGAGAAATTAGTCAGACCTTAAAGGATTTACTCTTTAATAGTCGTCGATAATGTCATATAAGCTATCTTGTAATCATTCCGAAAATGATGAAGTAATTACTAACAATAATGAGAGGAATTAGTCAGACTCCAAAGAATCAATTTCCCAGTGGTACTATTTAAAATTGGTCACTCATATTTTAATCAATCAATGACTTACAACACTCTGACTTCAAACTGCTTTCAACAGTCCTACCACTAGTAACATCTTCACACATCATTCTCAACGAAACAATGAACAAAACAATATTTTTTACATACTAACGCAATTCTCAATTGAAACTCTCACTGCCTATATAACTCTACGTTCCCACATTACCTGACACTTCTCACACAACAATCTCCAAAGACACCTCGGTACCTTATCATTACACATAACACAAAAGCAAACCTTCATTCCATCCTTCAACTTCGAGAAGTTGCCGAGTTCCCCGCAAGTTCCAGTAAATTCATGCTTTCTCCCGGTGATTCGTGGCCGGACGGGCATGTGTGCCTGCCAGGGGAAAAGAGCGAAGAGAGAGAGAGAAAGCGGAAGAGTGAATAAAAAGAGGAAACGCGGAGTAAAAGTTGTCCGGTCGAAGCATCAACTTCCTCTGGGCGCTCTTCGGTAGCGTTCAAGTGCATTCCGGCGGCGGCGGCGCTACCACAGACTGGATCGGGAAGCTCCCGTGCCCCCTTATTCGCCGGAAGTTAGTTGTCCGCCGGCGTGGCCGCGGTATCGGGGCCAAAATGGGGCGGGGAGCGGAACGGAAAAAGCCGCAGCAGCCTCGAACCGAAAGCAGACGCTTCCTGCGGCTGCAATCAGAAAACGAAGACGCCTGAGACGGGACCCTCTCGAGATGTAAACTGTTCGCCGCGTTTCCGCCGTAGGA